CGTACAAAAGCCTTTTGGGGCCAATGGGCATGGGACCTCCAAGGGAACCAAAGTAGGCCAGCGTAGCTTGTACAGAGAGCTGGGGGAAACACAGAAACGGTTGGAATGAAGGGTCAAGCCTTGCAGGTATGAGGCCATAGTAGGTAGGAATACTACTTTTATCCTAATGTTTGGGAGAACTGTCAAGGATTTACAAGCAACAAAAGACAAGATCAGGTTTGTGCCTGAAAAGTGTGCCTAGAATTAGAAAGCAGAAAAACCATTAGGTGGGGAGGAGAGTGAGCAAAGGGAGACGTGAGACAATGCACCCGTCTAGGCTTCAGATGGTGGCACTCTGACCAGGGTGGTGAGAAAATAAGCCAGAGGGAGCCATGGGGTGAGCCAAACTGAACCTGGTGGCAAAGTAGCTAGATGTCACGACTCCCGGGTTTCTGTTGGTCAAAACTTTTACAAATCAAGGCTTATGAAGACGAACTTATTCTCTGAAGAAATGTCACGTTTTTCAATCTCTCAGGAGCTTGTGCTGGCTCCCAGAATGTCTGGAGAACGTGAAAAATAGCACAATCACAATAGAAACAGTGTTTAAACTACTGGCATTCAGTTTTTCCTTTGGTAAATCAGAAAGAAAAGCACTTTATAGTGCTTTACAATTTCTAAAGTCCCTTACTACCTCATAGATACCAGGGAGAAGGCAGGAGGTGTAACGTGAGGAAGTAGGGAGCAAAGGAGATCGAAAAGCAGCCTGCTGAAGCAAATGGCATTCCTTTTTACATTAGCCAGTTTGAAAAATAAGAGATTTAAGCCCTTTCTCACTCATCTGGGAAAAAACACACAGCTAGATTAAGAAACAGAAGTGCACACTTCTTTTGCCTTTATCATTATCTAGTGTAATATAAACAGATTCTTTGTCAGTCAAATGAAGGCAGGAGATTCAGGAAAATTACGAGATTTTTGTATTGATCCATCATGTTAGAAGCAGTTTGTATGTAAGTTTCTTGAAAGCTTATGCCAGTACCTTGGCAGAGCTTGGAACCAAGGGAAATAATAAAAAATGCAGGCCTATATTCACGTGGTTAGCTTCTTGATCAAGAAGCCTAGTGATGTGAACAATTTTGATCCTTGTCTCTCCATTTTTTTTTTAGTTGGTCCTTAGTACTCATGAAGGGCTCTAAGTAAATGCTTTAATTTGTATTAAAAGCCAAGCTTGGTTTTTACAAGATTATATTAAAAAGCTTCAACCCAGAGTGGTTTAGGGAGTGATTTGACTTTCTTAGGTCCACATAATGCTTACAGGTTCAAAAGAGAAGAGTATCTTTCCTGCAAATATAATTTCTCAGTTCCAAGAACTGTTGTTGCTCACTAAACAGGCATAAAACTGGTCAACTGTGATGTCTCTTCTTTACTAGAATATTTTTCCTTGAATCTGTCATATTTCCAGTTACCAAAATCTACTGAATCACACCTGAACTCAAAGTACTAAAGACATTATTTATCAAAATAATTTATTAAAAGTATTCAAAGACCACTTCAATATTTAGCTGCCTTCAAGACAGTTTTTGGCACTCATAATGGACACTGTAGTTTTCTACACAATAGCACTCATTCTATTTCACACACCATTTTACGATTCAAACAGACCTTTGCAGTTTCAACAATACATGAGACAACAGTACTGATGATCTGTAGTCATAAGAACTTCAATACTCTTACACATAGTAAACATTTTAATGTTACTTAACTCTAAAAACTAAAACTAAAACTAAAACCACTAGGTGATAACACGGAGTGATTTAGGGAAAGATGTACAGCCAGCTAGCTAAGGCCACATAATCCCAGATCTATTGATTTTAAACGCTTCTGGACCAACAGCACTACACTGTATCTTCATCTCACTTTCCTGCTTTTCTAGTGACATATACCACGTTCAGCTATTATTCCTCTCTATGCTCATCACACTGCACAGGAAGCTGCTCTGATACCAGTAACCTAGACTGTCTTCCTGATGATTCTCTACCCAACTTTGAATCAATAGTTCTGAGTGATGTTTCCTGTACACTCAGGCTGAATTCAAGGTCAGTCTTTTTGGCAGGTCTCAGCCTTTCCCTTTAGGAAAAAGAAAGAAATGTTCTCCATTTTTGGACTCCTTCTTTCATCTCATGTGGCATGGGGCTCTGTGGTGATCTGTGGTTTTTTACACAAGTCCTGGTAGAATTCTGACTCCAAGAAACGGGGATAAGAGTTGTTCTCCATCAAGCTGTAAACTCTTTTCTGGGCAGTTGTAAAGCAGCCACTTGTAGCCTCTTGTATATTTTGGGCAATCAGAGTTTTGGTCTGAAAGTCTATGTTTATCTGAAATAAAACCAAAAAGAAAAAAGCGGTTTATATGGTATTCAGAGTTAGAAACTGAACTTTAATATTTGAAAACAAAAAATTTAATGTGTGATTAGCTTCACCAGCCAAATCTGTAGAAACTTAAACCTAATTGAAATTTAGGATAGTGAAGGGAAATCCTTTTTACTGCTTTTGACCTGCACTTAATTTGATGCTTGCAATTTTTTTGCTTTACTTTGGTGCTAAGGATGTCCAAATTTTGCTGAAATGAGGAACTTCTTACCTCTTTTGGAGCTTCCTTTTCTATGAAGTCAGTATATATTTTTCTTGCTTTTGAGGACAGCTTTTGGGGTGACTTGGTTTTTTTGAAATCTTCACAAGCCAACCAGAATTCAATATTTTCTTCACAGAACTCAGATTTTAAAAAAGCCCTGAATGCAGCAAGACCATCTGAAGTGGAGAGAAAATCGCAGAATGTAAAGAACTGAATGACCAAATAATTCCTTATGTTTGTCTAATATTAGCATTAGCAGTTTTCTGGATTCCACTCAAACCTGTAATCTTCAGAATTTAACTTTTTAAAGTCTAAGATGCTAGAAGGCAAAATGCTTAAATTGGTACTCTGCTACAAAAATACACTTAACTTTGCTTTCAATGCAACAATAAATATTTATAGGACAGCCATAAATTCTCTGGTAACTAGGGATCATGTAATGGAAAAGCTGACTCAACCTTAACTATGGGCAACTGTCATTTTAGTTTTTAGGCTAATTTTTCTTGCCAACCTAGAGTGAGTATCACATGCATTTCCATGACTAAATGCTGAGAAATAGATGAGAGAAAAGCAGGCTTTCTGCTACAGAGATTGTAAAGTCAAATTCCCCTCTGCAAGCTGCTCATTTATGATGTGTACACAACCTTTCTAGACTCTTGTGATACTTGCAGTGCATCGAATTCAAGAGATTAACTTACATTTACTTGCTAGCAATTCATCAAAGGCTTCTGACCACAGCAGTGCTTCCTCGGGAGAAGGCCTGTAAGAGAAGTTCCACCCATTAACTTGTGCACATCAGAGCTCCCCTTCCAGTTCAGTAGCCAGGGATTCATATTTGCAAGTACAAGATTCCTGACTTACTTGATGAAAGTTTGCTGTTTGTTTTTCTTGCTGGTTTTGGGCTTCCCAGGAGTAGAAGTATTTTGCAAAAAGTAACTCAAACGGGTTTTCCAATCTTTTAGGCTAAAAAAGAGAAAAAAAAGAAATTCACTAAATGGCAATGCTTGAATATACTATTGCAGCTGAAGGAATTTTTACTGAATAAAGTCACCCAGTAGCTACAAATCAAATATGATAAACCAAGACTCAAGTAACACTCTAATCCCCTTAACATCTGAACCCAGCAGGTTATGTACTGAACACAATTTCATTCATTCACCTGACTATAGAACCTAGTTTTACAACTAGGTTTAGGACTAAAATCACTAGGATATTTAATAAATATAGCTTGCATAAATTCAGCTCGCAGAAATATGCAAATGCTATTTCTGGTCCACAAAAGACCATTTCTCTGCAAGGTTAATCACACTTCTGCGGAATTTCTCACTTCATGAAAAGGACAATGCTTAAAATGCATTCAGCCAGTTGATGCTCTTTCCCTTTCTACCCTTAGAGCAGGAGGCTGTGGACTAAGCCCGAGGAGGTTGTGTACAAAGAGGGGTGTGTGACTGATGCCCCGACCAGCGCTCGCCTTCTCCCCACCCACAGGGCTCCTTCAAGCAGATACTGCACAACAATTACTTATTTCACAGTCGTGACTAGGTGAGATCTGCTCTGTAACATACAAAAGTGGATCTAAAAGGAATATATTCAGCATCAGCCAAAACATCTCCATCTAGCACTTGTGTAAGCTGATCAGAACTCCCAATGCAACGCAGTAATGCCGGGGACGCATTTCAGCTGCAGGATTCTGATATCATTTTATTTTTCAGTATCACACATTTCAGATGCATAATGAATATATTCATCACGGAGTATTGGCACATATACATACTGCATTTTGACCCTTTTTACTTCCCCTTTCTCCGTCTAAATGCAGAACAAAAAGCCAACCTGCAACATCTTTGCACATCTACCACCTCCCTCATGTCAAGATTTTCCCTCAGTTCCTAAACTCTACCCAGGTGGCCTTCCCTCGCACGATAAGTACATAGTAAAGATTAACCCCACGTAATAAATTAACTTTTTCCTGCGGAGGCGCAGGGTACAATTTTTGCCAAGGTCAAAGCTGAGGCCAGAGGTTTATACGGAAAATAAACTGGTCAGCAGTGAGCAGGGGGATCTCAGAATAGAGAAAAAAAGCCGTACTCACAGCGTTCGTTTCATCTTTTCCCGTTTCTCCTCGCTCTTGGATCCGTTGCCTGCGCTCTTGTCCATGGGTACACAGTCGTGCTGGACAGCCAAGAACATAGCACTTTGCATTATCTTCCCTGCAGCCGCACAACTCCGACTGGGAGGCGAGCGTCTCGGGATTTAAACCGGGCTTTGGTGCGCGGGCGGGGCTGCACGGTGCCGTACCCGCCCCCGTGGAGCGCGGATTGGCCAGTTTCAGTCGGGCACGGGGCGGGGCCAGTGCCAGGCCGCAGCAGTCACGCTGCCGAGGAAGGGTCTCGAAGTGAGGGCGGTGCTGACGTACGCGGCTCCGGCGTCGTGCGCAGGCAGGCGAGGCGCGGCGGCGGGCGGGAGCGCCCTGGGAGCCCAGAGGCTCCTCAGTGAGAGCAGCGCCGCGACCTTTGCAGAGGCGTGACAGCGGGGCGGCCGAAGTTGGCCGCGGGCCGCCGGCCACTCGCCCTCCCCAGGACGGGGCAGAATCTCCCGCAGCAAAAGGTCGCTCTGCTCCCTGCTTCTAGTCAGGGTTCGGTGGCCTTATTTTGAATGAAGAGTGGGTTTTTAAACTTTCCTTTTTATTTATTTGTTTGTTTGGTTTGCTTAAATTCTTTCATTGGTGCATTTTAGGTATACAGTACGTTCACATTTATCATTGGGTGCTTGTACCTGTACATGATGCATTTGGTTCTTATTTTTCCCCATTCCCTGTGCGCCCTTCACCCCCTCCACCCTTCCCTATTTACATAGACTTCGTTTCCATTTTTTCCTTTTCTCACAATTTTTCCTTTCCCTTCTTTCCTTTCCCCTTCCCCTCCCACTTCCCCTACCTCTTTGGACCTTTTCTTCCTATTTCAGATTATCAATTATTCGTTTTAATCCTTTTAACCCTTATTTACACTTTCAGTTTCTCACACTTAGAGGAACTATTCGTTATTTACACACGCGTGTCCCATCTATTTCACTTAAGACTGTGGCCTCAATATGCATCCATTTAGCTATAAATGTCTCTAGCTTCTCGTTCTTTATGGCTGAGTAGTACTCCATTTTATAAAAAAAAACACATTTTCTTTATCCAGTCTTCAGTTGATGGGCGCTTGGGCTGTTTCCAAGCTTTAGCTATTACAAACTGTGCTGCTATGAACACGGGTGCACATGTATCGCTGTGGTATGATTCTTTTAATTCTCTGAGGAGGATACCCAGCAGGGGAATAGCTGGGTCAAATGGGACTTCTAGCCCTTGTTCTTTGAATTTATTTATTTCTTGAGCATGCGCCCTGTCTTCTCCCCGCCCCCTTTCTTGTTCATATGGTCAAGTTTTAAAGACTCACTTGAAACCACCTGCTTTGGAAATTCCTCAGGGAGACCCTTGCCTAGTTGGCACCTCACAGCAGCTCCCTGGAAATGGGGAGCCAGAGACACTGAAAGGGTTGATTACCCAGGGCCCAGTGGAGTGACCTGCTCTGCAGCTCACCCAGGAGTCTTGGAATACTTTGGAGAATGAACATTAGTCAGGGAGGAAACGGGAGAAAATGACTTTGTCAGAAGACATTGCTTTAATGGGTTTGCATTTTTGATCTCTACTAGTCACATGGCTGGATCCCTCTGTGGGGTTGCCAGGGTTGTTCCTCTGGAGCCCTTGAGAGCATCTCCTGCTAAAGAAGTCATAAATCTTTTATGATGAGAGATAAAGAGGGAACCACAAAGATTCTGCAGCTGTAATGCACCAGAATCATTCTGGTGCAATGAGTTAGGATTTTCTCCTGAGTCATTCATTGGTTGCTTTAGAATTTATCAGAACATTCAACTGTCAAAAAGCATGTGTAGGGGACTGAGGCTAGGTAGGAGGATGGGGAAGTGTTAACAGTTTGCTTGAATAAGCTTCATCTGTGAAGTCTTCAAAAACCATCTCTCAGATACTTTTGCAGCCTTAAAAATGACTTGATAGGTACAAGTAGATAATTCAAAACAATCTCTTTTTGAATAAAATTACCAGAACTACACAAGGGAATTTTGAAGTTGTTTTCACATTAAGCCTCTAGGTAGTAAGATGAATAGCAAGGTATTGATTGAGCTTCAGGATTCTTCTAGCTTTATATTAGATTAAAAAAAAAATCGAGACGTTCTTGTGTCAGGTTCTATGGAGATGCCAGTAGTTTGAGCTCAGAGTTTAACTTGGAGAGCAAAATCTGCAGTTATTCCTCAAAAGAAGTTACTTTATTGTGCAAAGGAAAATCATTTAGATTTCAGTAATACTTGAAAATATGCTTGTAAAACTGTAAGAATATAATTTTTCTTATGAATGTGCTCATCTCTAAAAAATTTTGTATAAGCTTCCTGTGTATGACTTTTTGGTGATTCGATACTTATTACATATGTGTGATATACAGATGTATTTGCCACATTATGTGTAATATGGAGCATATTCACCTTTTTCACCAATACAAACCGAAAAATATTTTTCACTTACAGTCTTGGGTATTAGAATATAGATGTTGAAGTTCATTGGCAGGGCAGGAGTTCTGCATAGGGGAGAGGCAGGTGGGGAAGAGGAATAGAGGGAAAGAGGAGAAAGGGAGGAGGGAGGTGCTGGATTTGTGTCTCTTGAGAGACTTTTAATAAATACTAAGTAACTGTTGGGACAGTCACTTCACGTTTACTTGAACTTCCTTTATTTAAATAGCATTCTATTTTAGTCTCATAGAATGCTATTTAAATCTTACTTAAATTCTAAAGTCCTATACAAATTTATTGTTAATTTGCATTTTAATATGAAAGAAATGTCCAAAAGTGTGGCTTTTCAATAGAAAAAGTATGAGGAGTAATTGAGTTAATTAGGTTATAAATGTGTAAATTCTATTAAAATTAAGATAATGTTGCAGGTTTGTAGAGTGTCAAGTTCATAGTAGATATTTAATAAATGCTGTTTGGATAATAAATAAATAAATAAGCAAAGTAAGCAAATCAACATATAAACTCTTAAGAGCTCTCCAAGCCAAAGAAGCTCAGTCATCTCTATTAGCAAAAGTGAACATGCATGTGTCCATGTAAGCAGCTGGTTTAAATACAGATGATCCTAGATGGTTTTTGTATTTCATATAGTATTTGCTTTTTTTCCTGAACTCTTTCAGACTGACAACTAATGCTAAGACCCCCAAGTTTTCCCCTGAAAATTAAGTGATTGGTCACTAAATGTGAATGTAAATCATTTTATCATTTTTATATCTACCAGTAATTTTAAGAGTTAAGGCAATACCTACTGCAGACTGAAACCCTTTCCTTAAAAGGTTGCCATGTTGATGTCTTTTTAAAGATAGGCTGACATATATTTGAAGTGAAAGCTACAATTTTTGATGACTTCCCTTTGGGTTTTTTGTTGCACTTGGCTTTTAGGTAAATAGTATTGCCTCATATTAAGATGACACACATTTTCCATTCTATGGTGGAGGAAGAAACAATGCTGTGGGTTGTAAAAGTTGCACAGCAAAACCACAGCTTGAGAGCGGTTGAAACTAACCATCCATTTTCCATGTTGGCTCTACCTTGCCCTCTACTGGACATACAGTCTGAACACATTGGCGAGGGAGATTCTTGGGGTGGGTCTTGAACATTTTGTAATAATTAAAAAGTTTAAGTTACAGAAGTCAAATTCAAGTTTCTGACAATATTCAAGAAATACTACAAAAAATGAAAGTTTACCCGGCGGCCGGGGATTTAGCTCAGTGGTTTCGTCGCCTGCTGCGCAAGCGCAAGGACCGGAGCTCGATCCCCGGTACCAAACAACAACAACAACAAAAAACTTTACCCGGCCACACTTCTCTATTAATTACTGTGAACTAAAATGTTTATGTGTACTCTCATGCTTTAGAAATCTAGGAACCAAGACATATACTTTAAAAAACACAGAAGTGTCATGCTGGGTCTTACTCTGTGATTTGCTTTTTGTCAGAAGTATATTTTAAATATGTAGTTCTTAAATTTGTAAGAACTATAACCATGTTTCTTAAATTGTAAAATCTTAAATAGGTGATTAGTTGAAAAACAAGAAAAAAGTAGGGAATGAAATGCAGAATAGCAAAGAGGATGATGAATAACTAGAAAAAAATGAAAATATCTACTACCAATAATATTTTAAGGATGTATTACACCTGTTTTTCTTATTTTATCTAATTTAACTTTATTTGGTCAAATATTCTATCAGAGTGAACACCTGATTTTGCAAGATTCTATGCCCTTTACCCTTGCTTATAATATGATAATGAGATTTAAAAATTATAAATTTCTGAGAATGTAATTTTCATCCTAATGTAAGAAACTAAGAAAATGTTTTTGTTAGGAATCAATCAAGATTTTAAACAAATACTTGCATGTATCATAGAGGAATTAATACTTTTACCAGTGCTTGTATTGGTAATTCCATTTAGTATATACCTCCATGGTTCTACCTTAATTTTATCCATTCTGTAGTGTGTATTATACTTCAAGTACAGGCAGAGTTTACTTAAATTTAATAGCCCCTCTTTACTAAAACATTGAGATTCTCTTTGGAAACCAATAACAGGCACATTTGGAAGTCTTTTTATTCTGACTGAAAATACTAACATGCTGTATATATAAGTATCTGTAATAAGTATCTATATCTTTATGTTAAAGACTACTGGACCAGGGATTTAGCTCAGTGGCACCACACCTGCCTTGCAAGCACAAGGTCCTGAGTTCAATCCCTGGTACCAAAAAAAAAAAGACTGTTAAGTGTGAGGTCTAAACTAGGGTATTATTTCCTTTTGCTGCTCTCTTTTTGTGCATGGAAAACCAGGAGAGAGAAGGTGACTATAAATATTTCTTATAAAATATTAGTGACATAGGTAGTGTACAAAGTATGTATGTAATGTTAGGAATCTTTCTTGGCATTTCTTCTGACTGGAATTTTACTTTTTTCTGCAGAAATTGAAGTACCAAGTGTCCTGTTGAGTATTTTTTGAAACTTTGGTATAGTAAATTAGTGATATAATTTCAGTTGTTTATATATTATTAGTCATTGAGAGTCTTTTTTTTTTTCTAGGCATGAAGAAAGGGTATTGCTCATCTAGGTGATGATAAATTCATTTGTGCCTCCCCGCCCCCACCCAGAATACTGACTGCTCCCTATGTAGAGTCTTAATCCATCTTAGACATTGATTTTCATGGACTACTTCATACAATAGTGATCTGGAACCCTGTGAGTATTCACGCCCCAAAACATTTTTGAAACATAAATTCTAAAATCTCTTCAGAAATACTTGGGAAAAGAAGAATGTTTTAATGCCAGTAGGCCTTGACACATTGTCATGTTGTAAATATTCAAGTCGTCAATATTGAGGTAATGGCACTAGTGTCCCCAAAACTTCCCAGCTTCTAAAGACAAAATAGTTTTGCATTTCTTTTTATAATATACCTTTAAAGGAGCAGATTGATGGGATGGGTTGTCCATAATCAGGACATTTGCCTTTTGTTCCTTGTTGCTACTCTATTTTAGTTATGACCTCAGGCAAGTTGCTTTACATTTTTGTGCCCAGGTTTCTTATTTTTAGGGTGGAAATAATGATCATGCCCTTCTTTTGTAAAGAAGTTACTAGAAAAAGTTCTAGAAATGGCCTTTGCAACTTGATTAACGATAGTACATAGTGTACGAGGCTGGGCTTTAGAAAAACTTTGTAGGAACTAGTCTATTCTAGGTGATTATTTTGCCTATTTTGTTGTTTCTTTCCCCCTAAAACCTCCTGTTAGATGCAACTCCTGGAGTGGGATGTTCCTCTTTAGGTGGGAAGATTGAATTAAATGAAATCTTGAGTATGATGCAGTTTAAGAAGTATCAGACGTGTCTGCTCCTGCTTAGGGACTGGTACATTAGGGATGGAAGTGGCCTGATGCAGTTTCTTGCTCTTGTATTTCTGACACAGGAGGATTGCATCTGGTCTACGCCCAACAATGGCCACTGGATCGCAGGCCATCATAATTGGATACTCATCTTTTCTTAGGGGATCTATTCATCCTTTGGATTTCTTGATGGTCCTTCAGTGTTCTAAATGCTCTGTTGGGCACATCAGTGACACAAGTTTACTTAGAAAAGTTTTTTGAAAAGCAAATTTAGATTCACAGAAAATTTGTGAGGAAGGCATAGAAATATCTCTTATGTTTTCTACCCTCACACGCATAGCCTTCCCGTTATCAACATCACCAGAGTGATAGATTTGTTATATTATATTATCACATCATTCGACACATCATTATCTCTTAGGGTCTATAGTGGAAATTAAGGTTTATTTGGTGCTGTACATTCTATGGATTTAAACAAACGATAGGGATTTACCATTATGGTATCATGCAGAGTACTTTCACTGCCCTAAAAATCCTCTCTTCTATTTATTGCTTCCTCCTCCATAACCCTTGGCAACTGCAACTATTGATCATTTTACTATTTCGATAGTGTACCTTTTCCATGTCATATTATAGTTGTAAACACAGTGGATAGTATTTTTACATTGGCTTCTTTCACTTAGTAATATGCATTTAACTTTCCTTCCTGTCTTTCCATGGCTTGATAGCACACATTTTCTGAAGGTCCTACAGTGTCTTAGTTACTTTCTTGTCAGTGAGGCACATTACCTGACACCTATAACTTAAAGGAGCAGAGGTTTATTTTAGCTCATGGTTTGTAGAGATTTTAGTTTGTAGTCTGCAGGCTCTCAGGCAGAGAGGCATGGCAGAAGAGGGCTGCTCATGGCTTGGTGGCAGGAAAGCAGAGAGAGTGAAAGGAGTAGGAAAGAGATAAACCCTTCTAGGCCACACCTCCAGTGACCCACCTCTCCTAACCAGATTCCTCACAGCAAGTTGGCTATAAACTCACCAGTGGACTCATCCATTGATGACTATCATACCCCCATGATCCTATCACTTCCCCAGACCCCCAGCTATGAGCACATGAGGCTTTGTGTGGACATCTAGATATAAACCATAGCACTCAGTTTATCCATTCACCTCCAAGAACATTGTGGTTGTTTTACAAGTTTTGGCAATCTTAAATTAAACTGCTGTAAACATCTACATTCAAGTATTTGTGTGGATATGTTTTTGTCACCTTTGGGTACATGCTAAGCAGCGTGATTGTTCAGTTATAAGCTAAGAACATGTTTAGTTTTTTAAGAAACTACCAACCTGTCTTCCAAAGTGGCTGTACCATATTGCATTTCCACCAGCAGTGAATGAGAGTTCCTATTGCTCCACATCCTCACCAGCATTTAGTGCTGTCAGTGTTATAAATTTTGTTCATTCTAGTAGGTGTGCCGGGATACTTCAATGCTGTTTGCTGTTTGAATTTGCATTTCTCTGATGGCGTATAATGTGAAACATCTTTTTGTATGTTTACTTAACATTTGTATATCTAGAGAAGTGACCCAGTTTTTTGGTTAGGCTGTTTACTTATTGTTTCAAGAGTTTTTATATTTTAGATAACAGTCTTTTATCAGATATATTTTCATTTCTTTCCCTTGTAGTCCATGGCTTGTCTTTTCAGTCTCCTGACATTTTTTTTGCATTTTTTTTTTCAAAAATTGAGGCATAGATAGACTTATCAGGAAGAGTTAGAAAGTAAAATAGGGAAAGAACTTCAGCCTGAGAATCTGATGGGGGTACAACTCTAATGAAAAGGATCAAACTGGCTTGTTCACCAAAAAAGGAGACAAGCCTGGATGGATTTGCTGAGGTGGGCCAGGATTGTTGATCATTATCTCAGTTCTGGGTTTTGCCAGAGAGCTTCAGGAGAAGTCTTTATTTTTTGAGTGGGCAGTTTGGTCTCCATGGGATCATTATTTCTGGCAGAGCAGAAAATTTAAATTTCAGTTAAATCCATCTTATTATTTCTTCTGTAGTTTGTGCCCTTGTTGTTACATGTAAAAGAGTCACTACCAAATGAAAGATGACCTAGGTTTTCTCACTTTGGATCACCTAGCAGTTTTATAGTTTTGTATTTTATGTTTAGGTCTTTAACCCATTTTGAGTTTTAAAAAAATTATAGAACTACTTTTTGAAACATTTAAATTCTTTCTCAAAAATGTTTTAGAAATGTCCAGCTTTCTACTTTTTAATCTTTTCATCTATTTTCAAAAAGTGCTCCACTATTTTTACAGGGTAAATTCTCTTTGCATCGAATATTGAGTAAAACGCATTTTTTTTTCTTCACTGCCATTTAGGAGGGACTGAAACCTCCCCTCTGGAGCTGTTATCCCTTCTCTTCTAACGGACACCCCCCCCTCCCCTGTCTAATTATAATGAAGCTTTCTCATTTTGAGACTTACAGTTTTTCAGTATACCAACTACTGTATTTTGTGTCTATCAGTAATATTTTTTTTACTGGACATTTGTTTTCATTTTCTTCAGTAGTTTTAAAATAAGACCACTTAATGCCAACATAACTACCTGGTGTACCCCAGTTTAGATGAACTGCATTTAATTTAGCAATATCCATTTTTTCAAAACTCCTTTGGATTTATTTTTTCAGAAGCTCCCATTTTCTGATGTTATGTCAAGTTTCAAAGTTCTGCTATCTGTGTTGTTTTCTTTATGAACAACATTCTAATCTCTCATCTTTAACAAGTGGTTACCTACAGGCTTGATCGGACTTTAGAAATTTTTCTGTATGTACTAGAGTTTCTATTAAACATTTTTTTCCCGATTAACAAGTTTTTTCATTCTCTACCTTTTATCTTCCTGTGAAAGCAGTTCTATATTTTTCTGAAATGAGAAATTCCCATTCTCTAAAGATGGGAATTTTCATCTGAAACATCTCTTCAATGATTCTGAATTTGTTCTTCATTGTCCTCTTATATTTTGAAAGCTGTTTTATTTGTAGCTACTTAAAACTGGTTGTGCTTTGACACATATTCTAAAGATTGAATATTTCTTATAATGTCAGGCTCAATTTGTTCTAAATGTTTAGATTTTTCTTTACTAAATCCTTTTCTAATAGTACATGTTTCAAGCCCACTCAAAGAGTTGGAGATTTCTCATTTGGTATTAATGGCCTCCAGATTTTCTGATAGTTTGTCCTTGAGCCTGGCTTCCATTAAAGTTGATTCAAGGCCTTTACATTCTTTTCAAATGAGGTTAACCATTTCAAAAATTTGATGTATTTCTTCTAGAAGGCCAAAAACTTCGTGTTTTCTTGTCTTTACTTGCATAAGGTGGGCTTTAAATTATTTTTTAAAAAAACTATGACTGTAAATAACACCATATCCCACAGCAATCAATGGGATCTGACTCTTTCTTGGTTTAAGGTCCTCTGACAGAGTTGCCACTGGCTGACAAAGTGTCTCTAAACCAGTGCAACACTATGCATCACAGGCATAAACAGACCTTGCATGATTGCTTAGGCTATTCTCAGTCAATTCAGGGTGTCAGGATTCTAATGGCCACAGTATTACAGAACACCAATGAACATTCTCCTTGGTACTAAATGAAAGCCTGATAACTATGGTAGTCCTCAAAGGAGGTATAGAATTGGGTGCAAATACAGTGTGGTATTGGATAATGTTTTCATAAAATGTTTCGTTTTATGACCCTGGGTATTATTTTACCAACAAAAACACAGAATAGTTCTTATTCTCAGAACCTCTTCATATCTGGCTGACCTTGAATGTACATAGGGAGGGGTGTGGACAAGTAGAGAAAGATTATAAAGGGCTCTATAAAAAGTTCCAAGTTACTTCATCAATTTCACCTTTAAGAAGCAAAGCAAGGCCGCCTGCTGTGCAAGCACAAGGACCAGAGTTCGATCGCCGGTACCAAAAAAAAAAAAAAAAGAAGCAAAGCAAGAAATAAGTGAAATTTTAAAAAAGATTTCATATCTCAGGAATCTGCAGCCATATTTAGCCAGAAAAACTTAATTTTCTCAGATTTTTATTGTATGTGGGAAAATGTTTGATGGGACAGAAGCTCTTCTGGGTGCTTTTGTTCAGAATGATACTCTCTGGAGGTATTAAATACTAGATCAGCTTTTCTTAGGCTCACTTATCAACTTACTCTTGTTGACAATTCTGTAGGTTGGCTAGGGAAAGCACTGGTTTTGCGTAGGCTGGGGGACTCATTTTGGTGAAGACCAGAGGTTAGCCAATGTGGGCTGGGCTGGGCTGGGCTGGGCTGGGCTGGGCTGGGTGGTTCCATAGGTGTAGATCTTGGCTGGGATTTCTGATGTGTTTATAGGTCACTTGATTGGGGTTGGTGCAACTCCATGCCTTGCTTTGTCCCACATATTTCTCATACTGATTCTATAACTGTGGGAAAGCCTGCCTCTTTCTTCCCACAGTAATGGCAGTTGTACAAGAAAGCCATTGGGAGAGCAGTTATTCAATTTGCATTTTCAGAAGTTCACCCTGATTATGAGCTATCAGCATCTTATTAGGTTCCCTTTTCAAAAAGTCATTGCTCAGACTCTAGATTTTCTGGAATTCATATAAAGAATAAGAGTTGATATGGTCATCCATTTCTTTTATTTGTGTGGCTCACTTTATCAAACTCCGCAAAGAAAAGTTGAAATACATGAGCTGACAGAGGTGAAATCCTGGGGAAAATCAATTTAGAAATTGCTAAATACATATTCTCAAATTACTGCACTTTACTGACAAGTGAGGACAAACTCTATAGCACATACTATTCAGTGGAAACAGAGACAGCTTAAGTCTCCAAGATGCTGATGAAGTAGGATGTAGTGCTGAGTAACTGCAGATTCCAGGTAAATTCTTCATATTAACAAACCTCCATTTTTCTCTGTAAAGAGGAAGAAATACATGAATAGATTACATATACTGAATCTGCTGGTGTAAATATAAATATTTTGTTTTCAGGTTTGGCAGGACTAAGATACTTTATTTGTGTGTGTGTGTGTGTGTGTGTGTGTGTGTATGTGTGTGTGTGTGTGTATGTGTGTGTTACTTGCTGCAGTTTTCTTGGAAGTACAGATCAACATTGGTGTTGCCAAAGAAGCAAGGAATAATGTACCAAGTCATCCCTCATTACATTACCAAAGATGATAAACCTTTAATCCTTGTTCTGAAATGCCAGCAGCAACTGAGCACTTCAGAATTTTAGTCAACTTGAACATTTATCTTCTGTTTTTCATCTTTAGGGTGGACAGATGCTGGCTGTTTTGCCCTTTAGGGAATTCTACAATCATTTCTTAGACTGGTGCATGACAGTGATAAAACTTGGGAAGAATCTGAAGGAAGCTTTTGGTGGTTTGTGAAGCTGCTACTAGGGGAGAGTGTCCCTCTTTCTATTAAATATTAAATACTTAAGGTTTATTTTTGCCATATAGAGCTCCTTAATGGAGTGCTTTTTTGGGGGAGGGAGGGGTATGCTGGGGATCAAACCAAGGGTCTAGTGTGTGCTAAGCATGCACTCTAACACTGAGCCATACTCCCCCCTGCAGATTGCATTTTGATTTGAAAGAGAGACTAGATCAGCTTCCCTCAGGGGAAGTGAGCTTGTGAGTAGGTGTGTATTGGAAGAGGGTAGGAAGGAGGGTAAGTGATAGTGGCCAAGAAACCAAAAGCTGAACAGAGCTGAGATTTATTATGAACAGGAGAACTTTCTCTGTAAATTTCTCAGATCTAAGCCAAGGAATCTTTGTAGAGATACTGAATTTGCTTTCCGTTTGGGAAATGTTCTACTTTCAGCTTCTTTTGCAGCATGTACTCATTTGTCCCATAAATATAGTTGTAGCTTCCAGGTCTTCTCCATTCTGCACATTCATGCTATGCATTCACTCTCTTAAATTCAGTTGTTTTCTGTAAGCTGATTCATCTCTATGCTTATCTTTCTGCTCATATAAAATCCTTATACAAGAGTAGCTAATTGTCCTAGATTGATTCAGTTAGATGCCTCAAAATCAGTGTAGACTAACCTATTATCCATAGTATTTAAAAAAAATCTTTGATTCTAAACCTTTTTCTCTACCTTTGTTCTCTATTGCAGTGAATGGTTACCATCGTCCACTTAATTGCCTAAGACAAGACACAAGACATGGGAGGTAGGCAGTAGTCACCTTTGAGTCCAACCTCTTTCAATTCTATATTGAATTTATCCTGCCTATTCATTTTACTTCTTAAATATAAACTTTTCCAATTCTACTTTCCCAATTTTCTCTCCATCTCTTTTATAAATTGCAGCAAGAATTCTAATCTCTCACATTCGAATCTATTTTATCTATTGAAAGATCTATTTTTCAGCCCATAGGATTTTTGCTAAAACAATTATCGTTGCTTATTCCTTGCTTAAAACTACTCATAGTTTTCCATTACCCTTAAGTTAAATTCCAAGGCTGAGAGAAGTTCAAAGAGAGATCACAAATTTAAAGCCAGGAAGGGCAACTTAGAAAGACCTTGTCTTAAAATAAAATAAAAGGATCAATTCAAGTCTCTGGGTTAAATCCTCAGTACTGGAAAAATAGATAATATGTTCTAAATTTCTTACTTTGAATTGCATGATCCTTTTTACCTGTCCCCTGAATGCCTTTCTAGCCTTATCTTTTATTATCCCTCCTTGTTCTCTATGGTATTTTCTTACTGAAGTTTTAAAGTTTCTTTTATAAGCCATGATACCTCTTTCCGCTAGTCCTTTTTGCTCATGCTTTTCTCTCTATTTGGATCTTTCTCCTGTTTTTTTTTAATCTATCATCTATATTATTCATCCTTCTTCAGTGTTAATAAGCTTTTTTTCTGGACATTACATACAAACTTTTCCTCCCTCCAGTATGAATCTGGTTGAAGTGCCTCCCTAAATACTCTTACAGTACCAGTAATTACTACAGTGAATTGTAATTGCCTGTTTGCTTATAGATACCTTTGACTAGACTGTTAGTTATTTTGTTTATTCTTATGTCCTGGCATATGGAAGATACTTGGTATTTCCCAAAGGACTGGATGAATGAAAATCTGAGTAAATGAATGAGTAACTTGTTACTTTTCCAGGAATTCTGCCATCTGGATCAGTGTGACTTAAATCAAAGGTTCTCATGCTCATGGAATGAATATATATATAATTGGTATTTACTCTATTTGCAATTCATGAGACTACTCATTTTTTGGTTCAAAAAATATAGTTCTTGACTATTGGGAATAGAATACTACTTGTTTATAAAACTACTTGACAGAGATACAAGTCAAGGGGAAAATTAACAATTCAGTGATATACAGGATATTCATTTAAACATCATGAACATGTGGATAGATAATCTCAACATTTCCTTTAGTAAAAATATTAACTCTGGATTCATGGTCTCATGTAAGCACAGTTGCGTTATTTGGATTGTTTTTTATTCAGAGTTACTGGCCAAGTATGGTGGTGCATGTGTATAATCCCAGAATTCTGGGAGGTTAAAGGAGGATCAACCCCAGCTTGGGCAATTTAAGCTACTTAATGAGATCCTGTCTCAAAATAAAAAATAAAAAAAAGGATTTGGGATGTAGCTCAATGGGTTCAATCCCCAGTACCAGTTTTAAAATGTTCAAATTTATCATAACAATTATAATACATAAAATTATAGTTTAGATAGTATCCTGGGGTTCAAACGAAAAAGGAAAACAAATTGGAAATCCGTAGTAAGAATGTGATCAGTTAGCCAGATGTAGCAGTGCATGTCTGTAGTCCCAGAGTTCTGGAGGCTGAGGAAGGAGGATGGTGAGTTAGGCCAGCCTGGAATACTTAGTGAGACCCTGTCTCCAAAAACCAAAACCAACCAAACAAACAAACAAAAAATGAGACTATAGTTAGTTGGGTCGCACTTGAAAAGTAACAAACAAAACAAAACTTAATTTTTGCTTTAAGACCATGACTTGAACCTCTCCTCTATTTGTTCTTCCTGTAGTCCATTGAAAGTACCAAAGATGTTAAAAAAAAGAGAGAAATAAAGAAAATCTTAAAGAGGAAAAATGATAGTATTGCCATATGAGAAATGAATACTCAAATATGTGAAGCACAGATGACCAAACTGAAGCAAAAACTTCTCAGAATGGAGCCTCTTCAGAAGTAAGTGGATGATTTCTTCAAGTCACTGAAAACCTTTCCATTTTGGAGAAAGAGAAGTTTTTTAAAAATGTGCTAGAGGGTAGTAGGTGAGAGTTAGACTATTTAGAAATTACAGTAGTGACCCACATAATATGTTTCCCCAGGATTTACTTGTGCAGTGTGATAAATGAACTTGTAGGTTATAGGGAAAAAAAGCCAAATGCTATTTAGAAGTTATTAGAAATTAGATATAACATATGAAAATCTATGGTCAAAGCCATATGTAGAAAATTATTCAAGACTTAAATTTTTAATATTGAAAATAAATTAGTATATGCTTGTTATTTAATGGTTTTGGGGAGTACTGTGTTAAGAAGGACTCTGAAGACAAGTCTGTACTGACTGAGGAGCATAACTCTAAATGACTAGTGACATCAGGGTGCAATGAATTTTTTAGATGAGTTGTATAAATCCATTAGTGGTTAGACAATTCCTACCTTGTCATGAGAAGTTCTCCCAGTCATTTTTTGAAGCAAAGATAATTCTGATCCTCAAATCTGATGAAGAAAACTCAAAATAGAAAACTAAATGTAAATTTCAATGAAAAGATGTAGATATCTTAAATACTTTCAGATAGGTTCCACCATAAATATTTAAAAGCAGGCAAAAACATTGTTTACAGTGAAATATAAAATTCTTGGCAGCTATGTTATGAAAACATTTATGTTGAGCTGAAATTAAATAAATTGTGGGCATTAATATCTGCCTAGCTTTGCCTATAACAGGACTAATAGTTATGAGGTGAAATTCATGTCTGTGGCAGCGTTGTTGACCTGTTATTACACGGAATGTGAGATATCAGTAGCATACAGAATGAAAGTCTGAGAACTAGCTGAAAGCTAAAGTAGAATGCCTAACACGTAAGTTTTGTTATTAAAGTCTTTGCTTCTTAATGTTTTAAATTAGTTATCTGTATGCCTATCTTATTTCCCTTTGCTTTCAGGAGATAAGAATTACAATTATGCACCTTTTTTTTTTTCCATCTAGGATAACCCTTTCCATAAAACAGGTGCTAAGAGGGCCAGTGATGTAGCTCAGTGGTTCTGCTGCCTGCCTTGCAAGTGCAAGGTCCCAAGTTTGATCCCGGGTACCAAAACAAACAAACAAACAAACAAATAAAAAACAGGTGCTAAGAAATATGTATTGGTTGAATCTATCCAAAATTGCTGTGGTATAATGAGTTCACTGTTCTTAGAGACAGGGATTTGGTTTCAAGTCCAGGTTGCTGATAATTAATTCTCTTTTGTCAATTTCCTTCCTTCCCTTAGGACTTCCCCTCTGAGGAGCCTCCTTGACAAGTCCTCTGCTCATTCCTCTGTGTTTCCCAATGAACCTGTGCCTCCCTCTGCTGAAGCAAATAGCAGTCTGCTATGTCTCTCCTGTGAGACAGTAGGTGCATTGTCTCTCACACCTTCTTTCTCTATCTGCAGAGATTATCCCTGGTTTGATACATAAGATGTGCTTACAAAGTGTTACACAAATGAAGAGTTTAATTTCTCTGAGGTTAAGGTTTTCCATCTCTAAAATGGGAATACTAATAATATATGATATTGGGGTTTCCAAGAACCTTCTTTAGAAAAGAGGCTGGCCCTTCCCTCTTTAATAATAACAGCAATAGGTTTTGTTATTGAGTACCTATTATATGTGCCAAATGCCAAATGCACTTTTATTGTATTATCATTATCTCTTTTATTATCTCGTTTGTCTTATGCCCTGTGTTAGTCAGCTTTCTATAGCTGTGACAAGATACTTGAGATAATCAATTTAAAAGGAGGAAAGATTTATTTTGCCTTGTGTTTCAGAGGTTTCGGGTTATGGTCACTTGGCTCATTTGTTTTTGGGCCCATGGTGGCGCAGTGCAATCACTGTGGAAGCATACAGTGGAACAAAGCTGCTCACCTCATGGTAGCCTGGAAACAAAAACAGAAGCGGCTGTTGGCCGCATGTACCTTCCTAAGGCATACCCTTATGATCCAACATCCTCCCACTCAGCTCTACATCTTGAAGGTTTCACTACTTCCCTCTAGTGTCACAGGCTGGCAACCAGGTCTTTACATGTGTTTTTCTGGGGACATCAAAACCATTGTTTCTCTTGTGTGAGAATTCCAAACTATATGAATAAGGAGAAAAATGGAGGATAGATATTAGGAAGTGGGAAGAACTTGTTCAAAAAGAAAGGGGAACAGGAGATGGGAGAGAGGAAAGGAAAGGAGATTTAAAGAAAAAAATAATTGAAAAAAAGGAAATAGAGCTTTTGTAAATGGAGAGGAAAAAGATTAGAGGGAGAGGAGGGCAGGGGAAAAAAAAGAATTAAGATGTGTTATATATGTGTAAATCCCCCATAATGAGTAGGGTCATTCTGTATTGCAAATATGTACTAATAAAAATATACACCCTTATAGGTGCTGTTATTCCCATTTTGTAGATTCTTGGAGAAGTGAAGAAACAGTCCCAAACCAATAGCAAGCATGTTTGTGGCAGAGCTTGGACTTGAATTCTAAGTGGTTAATTTTTCTCCAGAACTTAGCCACCATGCACTTAATGTTTCTATAGGATGCTCAGTTTGCTTTGTCATCAACAGGTCTCCTCATGGATACCCTGGCTGTACCATTATAGTCTCTAAAATATTGACCTTGAAAGTTACTGGTCAGACCCAGTCCCTAACACATTGCTTGGCACGTGGAAAGTGCATACTCAACATAAAATTGTTTTATGAAATAGTGAATTAGCTTTTAATGAAAAGCTTATAGATATTAGTAATCTGTGAATTAAACCAAGAGACTTTAAATATAACACCATTGTTTTATTTATGTATACAGAATACTACAAATATCTGTAGTAAACTCATGAAACACTTCTACTGTCAATACTGATATTTCAGTATTTAATATGAATTATGATCAAAATATATGGTGAATGTTTTAAGTTTTAAAAATTTATTACATTAAAAGACACATTGCCATTAATTCACCTCAGAATATTCCTCATAGCTTTGAACATACTTAGCCTATCATTCTTGCCACTTTCTGAAGCAGGTCTGGAGCTCTTTCATGACTGTACAAGGTGTGATAAAAAATACGTGGAATGCTGCTGCTTTGTGCCATCCAACACAAAGGTGGGCTCATAAAAACATTGCAGCGTGTCTTTATCTACCTTATTTATCTGATCTGGCACCATGTGATACCTGGCTTTTCCCCAAAATAAAAATGACTGTGGAAGCTAAACAAGTACAAACACATTTATTAGTACAGCAAAGATTCATACAAATATTTTTAGTTTTACTTAAAGTATATTACACATTTCACCAGAATATGTATGAATTTAATAAGTGTAAAATAAATGTATGTTTTTGTTTATAGCTTTTGCTTTTACATCTCAGTAAGATACTTAAATTTCTTGAAAAACTATGCAGAGCAACCAAGAAAAATATATGTCAAAAAATTTACATAATAAACTTTCAAAACTGAACTTACATAATTATAAATCATTGCCCTTCAGCGTTTGAAATATTAGCAGCTTTACAGTCTCTTATTTGAAATTGTTCTGTTTTAGGAACTTGTTCTATCAGTTAAAGAAATCTGGTGATATTTCAAAAATTTTAATTTCATTTAAAATACTAAATAGAATTTTCGTAGGCTGCTAACTTTTGCTACATGACGGTAAGATTTTTTTTTATTATGGAGATTGCCATATTGTCATCAGACAGGGTCCCAGAAAGTTTCCCTGAAGGGGAGATGTGGACCTCAACTTTGCTGGGGCAGGTTCTTAGTATCATTGCAGAAAAGCATTTCAGGACCTGTCAGTGAGAGGCAGAAGGCTGATTTACTAAGCAGAGTTAGAAAGTAAGAAAATAGGGAGGGGAATTCAGCTTGAGGAGCTGAAGGGGGTACAGCTCTGATGAAGAGGATCAGACTGGTCCGTTCACAAAAGAAGGAGACCACCCTTTTTGGATTAGCTGAAGTGGGCCAGGGTTGTTGATCATTATCTCAGTTCTGGTTTTGCAAGGTGGCTTCCAGAAAGTCCTATTCACTTAATTCTGCTCTCTATGAGATGATTATTTTGTTTGGGGCAGTCTCAGTCTTATGAAGGCTCTGCTGAAATCCAAGGTGACCATGGGTTTGGGCAAATGACTAGAGACTTCTGGGTGATCGTTGGTTGTTGACCATCCCTGTAAATCTCTTAACTTGGTGTCCTCAGTCTTGAAGGGGACGAGGTTGGATATGCTGTACACATGTAGGGCTAACGAACCTTGTATTGTCTGCCAGCTTTTAGACAAGCAACCCTAAATGATTAACATGCCTAGCTACATACAGAGCTGAGCAAAGATCTGACTCAAAGGTTTAAGGCAGTAAAGGAAAAAAATGCAAAATGAAGGTCAAACTGTGCTCTGATTTTGATTACCTATTGGACACCTGTAGGCCCAAGTGAAGAATCACTGTGCCTTTTTTTTTTTTTTTTTTTTTTAAAGCAAAAACCCCTTAAAGTCCTCTGCCTCAGAAGAAAAAACAAATCCTACTTTTGTGAGTAACAAGTTAAGGGCCCAGGAGTTTGTTGTCCTCTGTCTCTAAAGTGGTCTCTGTCTCAATATTACCAGTTGTCCCAAGAGATTCTTTGTATGTGTGTGGACAGACTTTTTATATATCCACAACTTCAAAGGACATGCAAATATCCCTAGACAGGGAAAACTGGGATTAGTTTTTTCTTTTCTTTTTCCTCTGACCCTTCCTTCCAATACCTCCTCTTTTTCTTCCCCCTCTTACTCCTCCTCCTCCTCTTTCCTTCCTCCTGCCTACTCTTCTTTTCCCCCTCTTCTTTTTCCTCTTCTTCCTCCTTTTGGTTCTCTTTTCCCCTCCTCTCCTCCTTTTTTTGTGTTGAGGATAGAACCAGGGGCTTGCATATGCTAGGCAAGTGCTTTATCACTGAGCTTCATCTTCAGCCCTTAATTTTCATTTTGTAAGTGAAAAACTTAAAAAAGAAAATTGATAATTGCTTAGGGATATTATTAAAAATGAAAATTCTTACATGTCTTTTCTAGAATTTGGTAGTTTTAAAAAAATTTTTGGTGTTTTTAAACCCTCCTCTTATGAACATCACATAAAATGCTTTGTGAAAAAAGAAAGAAAGAAAATAGGGGTGAGGATGTATCTCAGTGTCAGTACTTGGCTAGCATGCCCTAGCATATGTGAGATAATGAGTTTGACTCTCAGCCCTTAAAAAAAAGGGAGTTGGGAAGAAATGCTCTGTAAATTACAGAATGCTAGTAGCACACTAATGTATTATAAAGGAGTTTTTTTTAGTACATGAAGTTTGGAGAAAATATCCTTTAGCATTTATTGAAACTCAAGAAAGAACAGTGTAGAAATTCAGTAAAACTGGAAAAGAAAAGGGCTCTTTCAGGCAGTGAGAGGAATGTTTCTTTTGTCACTATCTCCTGAGAATCAAATCCGGTTAACAGATTCAGATGGTGGGTTTGGTTGTTTCAGGGTTGAGACATCCTCAGATTACCTCAGGTGATGTCACGGTCACACGAAATCTGAAAGGAGAGCCAGGAAACTCTGAGCAAGCCTGCAGTGTACAGAATCAGTAGCAGCCAGGGGAGCCAGGAGTAATTCTAGTCATTTGTCATGCTGGTGACTCAGCATCTCTCTCTGCATCCCTTGTTGATTTCTTCCTATTCCATCACTGGTTCCTTCTTTCTTCTCTCCTCCTTTCTCTAATGGCTTCTGTTTATTGCTTTTTTTTTCTTTAAAAATATAAGTGAATAACAATTAGTCAACCTTACTATATGTCAAGCAGAATCTTATTTTTATACTCACAGCAGCCTTTGAATAAGGAATAGGGTGTCTTTCTCATGTGACTTCCATTTTCCTAGTCCCCACATTGATGAACAGGGATGCAAAAGCCATCACAATAGGAAAATATTTACTGATGAACCAAAACCCAGCTCATTTTCCACTCAAAACCTTGTCCTCACCTAATATCAGCTTTGGTGATTAAAATCATTCATATACTATGTAAACATAATACATAGCATAATAGTAAAATTTGCAAAAGATGCAAAATTTCATGAAGTGGATGTCAGTAGGAAAGCTGTTGACAAATGAGGGCCTGGGATTGTTGCCAGTTAACAATTAGAGAAGATAAACATGGAAAATAAAGTAATAAACACGCTGAAAAAAAAAGACCAAAGTAGTAAAGTTTTGGGAACATTTTTAAAGCTTATATTAAAATTCACATGTAAAAAAATGTAAAATGTGAACTAAACTGTTATGCTACCATTTTGTTTCATCCCTCTTAACTCCATGACTTGACACTTTGTTCATTCTAATACTTGGAATATATGTGAGTATTATATAAATATGTATACCTTTAAAAATACTCAATTTAAAATTCTATTTTAAAGATAAAGTCCTAATCAAACATTTTTCTACCATTTGCTCAAAAATTTGTACCCTAACTGTAATGCATATATTTCAGGTAGCTTGTCTATTATCAGTTACTTTTGTTTTGAGACAGGATCTCACTGTGTAGCCCTAGGTGGCCCCAGTCATGATCTTCCTGCCTCTGCCTCTCAAATGTTGTGATTATGCCTTGCTATTACTCTTGTTTTTTTCTTTTTTATAATGACTACCTTCTACGCTACTATTTTTTTAGTACATGTGTGCAGTACATAATGTTTACATTCCTTGTGGGGAGTTGGTACATATAGATAATAATACATCTCAATTCCTTTTATCATCCCCATTCTCTTCCTTCCCCATACCTCCAACTACTTAAAATTTTGTGGTTGGTAAGAGAACTGGGATAAAATATAAATGTGTAAGTTCACATACATTCTTAAGTACTAAGTTAAACTGTCTCTATGCCCTATTATTTCCCCTTTTATGTCCCAAATTAAAATTCCCAGAAAGATGTTTTTAGGTTAGACAGAGCTGTGATTTCAGAACATTCTAGAACCCATGTTGGACAGAGCTATGATTCTAGAATATTCATAAGCTGGCGACAACCTTCATAAATTGTTGTCCTGGAGTTAGGCACAGAGCCATGGTTCAATTAATTATTAGTTTCATGGCAAGGTGATATAATGCATATCTATTTACTCTCAAGGAATTGACTTCAGTTCTTTGGCAAAGTACTTTGAGTGTGGCACTCATTTTACATATTCCCATAAAAAAAATGAAACAAATAAAGCAAAGGCTCCTGACATAGCCTTTCT